AGTGAGCCAGAGGCGGCAGGAAATCGTTTGGCTGCCATAAAAGGAGCAGGTCTGCAGACCCCGTACAAGAGGATGCCAAGAGTCCTTAATTAGGGTGTTCTCCATTTCTTTTTACTTTTTTTCTTCCTCTAGAATTGAACGCCAACCCATATAATGCAGACGCGGGGTTTGCCTTCGAATGCAAGCGACGAGTTCACCCTAGCACGATCCCGCTAAAAAAAGTGGAATTAATGCGGAAAAAAGAACCTTAGATAGTATTCTCGCTCCAAAATGTCCCAAGTCGTTATTGGATATGTCAAGTAATCGAAGAGAAGTTGTTGCTCCGAGTGTATTCAGAAGGACACTCAGATGAGGTCCGAGCCGTGCATCTGACAAGATCAACTCCTCCAGACACTAAAATATAGCAAAATACATTGGCTAACCTCATTAAGTAAAAGAAAGCCCCAACAAACTAGTACATACAGAATCGTCCGAGAACAACTTCACTAGATCAAGAATCGTCTTATTGATAACCGCAGCATGGGCTTGCTTTGATGAACGGCGCAGTGCAAGCAAATTCGCTCCACCCAAGTCCACACGACGTAAAGTTTTGATGTTGCCAAGTGCATGGATAACAGCCTGTAAAAACAGTATTATTTCAACAAATGCACTGACCTTACGCTACAAGAAACTTTAAACAAGAAAGTGGGCTGTATTACCTGCATTTCTGTCTCCAAGTTGTTATCCCTCAAAGAAATGCTGTTGCACTGAACACCTCCTAAACACGCTTCCAACACTGCGCTACAATTCTTTTCACAGGTGCCACTAATGTCCAGATGAAACGGCTTCAACTAAAAAAAATCGTATTTAGTGGAGCTGGGATGTTGATGATGAACAATAAGATGGAACATTTTGATACAGAAAACTTTGGAGCATTTGAAACAACTACAAACTTGATGTAGAACAGTCCATAAACGATTTTCTAGAAGCCAGGTAATCTTGAAAACAATTTCGCTCGCCTACTAAAGCACTGTTAACGCTTAACGTTTGACCGATAGCTAGCAGAGGCTTATTATGCCTTGAGCGGATCATTCCCAAATATTTCTCAACCAGTCCCGGCCTGCCTCTTATCTGATATGGTCGCCTGCGGGCGGAGTATTTTCCTTCCAGCTATTTCTAGACTGCAATTGATATCCGCTGCTTGTTCTGTACTAACTATTTTCGGTGTCTGAGTGCTAAAACTATTTTCAGAGATTTTCATCTGATCCGCACTTGAGAGCAGACGCCGCAATTTTCGTGGCCCCACATCTCAGACGAGCGCTATGCTGAGTTAAGCTAGCTTTTTTTCGGTGTCTGAGTAATTCTAGCGCCAACCTCAAAGCAGACCCGTCACAATTTTGCGGCTGCGCGCACATCTTCCGAGAGCTCTGCTGACCTTAGATACTTTTTTTGATTGGTGTCTGAAGTATTCTAGCCCGCCCATTAAGCGAGCCGTCGCATTTTTTGTTTGCCACATATTACTGGCGACCTCTTTGCTGGAACTTATCTTTTTTCCCGGTATTCGGAGTGGCTGCTGGACGTTTTGCAGATATTTTGTCTGACCGGCACCTGAAAGCAGGCCAGAACCATTTCTTTTTGTGGCCGCAAACCTCACTGGGACCTCTGCTGTTTGATTCACATTTTTTTCGTTTTTGTTCGGAGGGTGCTTGAACGCGTTACGATTTTTTGTCTGGCTCGCCCCCTGAAGAGGGCTCGACCCCACAATTTATTTTTGGCGGGCCGCACAAATCTCAGATCCGACCTTTTTACCGGTATTGGAGTGTTATGGAACGCCGAGCTACAGCTTAACTCCAAATAATACCGTGCGATTTGGGGAAGGCTCGGCCGACTGATGGGCAGGTTTCATATACTTGAGCGTGGCATGGTTTCGCCGGTATTTCATTTTACTCAGTTGCGTTTATTTCGCACTTCGAACCTGCTCGCGAAGGGGTTGCCTGAATTTTGCGAGAAGCACCGCCACCTTGAGTACGCCCCGCCCATTTTGGATGTGCCACAGTTAGTCTGGCGACTCCTTACTAACCTTATTCCCTTTTTTCCCCATCTTTAAGCTGCTCCGGAAGCGAATTATGAACATTTTTCTACGAAAAGAGTCACTGATCTTCAACTTCCAAGAGACTAGCCGAAAGGTTAGCCCAATAAAATTCAACTTCTTGGTTATGGCTACAGAAAATCACTGAAGACGAACCATTTCTGCCTTTTTTCACTGGTATAGAGCAAAAAAATTGGTAAGTGACGTAGAAAAACCTTGTAACCAAATGTACCTGTTGGTTACTAGCCAATCCAAGAAGCATTGCTTTCATCAGTTCTGCTGGTAATATCGTGTTAACAAAGTTGATGACAGACAAATTCACAGCCATCGAGAAAAATTCCTTCACTTGCTAAAATCAAACGCAAAAGAGCTTATCTTCTTAACTTATAAATTCTCTCAGTATATTTCAATATGATATTTCTCAGTATACAAACCTGTGCACACTCAGCGGCTTTCTTCCCAGCATAGCATCCACCGAGATAAAGTTTTTCTATCTGAAGGCCTCCATATTTCAGTGCAGCCCAGATTTTATCCAGTGGGAAGCCGGTATCAGTTAAGTCCAAGACCCGCAGAGTGGTGCACAAGGAAACCACATTGACCAGTGAAGACACCTTAATGGAAAGTTTAGGAACGAAATGAATATTTAGGGCAATTGTTGGCACAATTTTTCTACAACAACCCCAGAATGCTGCTTTTATTTCGTTACATATCGTTCACTGGAGTCATTCAGTGCCATAATCGCGACAAGAAAACGCTCAGTGGCTCCCTTCACCACAAGTTACACCAGAATCCTTACTGCAAAAATCGTTATAAACTCATGTATGGAAGTTATTCGGCGCACCAATCACAAATATGACATTCACTATCAGTGCGTGCAGCATTTGACATAGCAACAGGAAACCAAACCGTTCATTAATTCAGCAGCCTTATTTAGAAATGTCATGTCGCTGGTTGCTCTGCACAAGCTTTCGGTTCTTCAATGGTTCTCTCATGGGGAGCACCAAGCTTTCACTTGCATTTAGAATCGTGGTAGCACTATGAAAGCAACCTGATACTGCACAAAAAAACATCAGACCCCGGGATTCAAGGCTCGGTTGGCCTTGGCGGAAGCCCAGTGCACTCATACATTGCGTCAGCGTTTTCAGCGCTCATCAGCGTTTTGAGCGACTATGATAGTGTGGCTATCCCCACTTATCTCTACATCACCTCCGCCCTGATTCTTTGCTCAAATGAGTATGCGAGTGATATCCGCGTTCAATGATGCACGGAGGTTTTGGATCAGAGGTCGGACATGGTGAGCGACAGAGCAAAACGACAGACATCAACACGGGCGGAATCGCCTGCGTACAAGGAGCCACTTGAGCAACCTCGGGTTCTAACGTTCTTAATTTACGACCTTCGGACTAAAAACTAGCACAGGCTTGTCCACTGTGGCCAGTTCTACTTTTTCCCCCACAAGGCTTTGATTGTTATAAATCGCGAAATATGCCTTTGAGTCCATAGTAAATATGATGAAAAAGGTATGTGTCCACAGAAAATCACAATCGCGCTCAGGAAATGAGTAAGCGAAATTTCAGCAGAATATTTTCGAGTTCTGGGATTGTAACAGCGATAAAGTGCCGCAGAACTCCTTAGCAACTCACATCATCCTTCAAAACATTTGTGGAGAAGTTTAACTCTGTTAAACTCGGTATTGCTCCACTGTTGGATTTTGCCGTCAATGCACTGAAATTATGAGAAAAACATCATTTCATGGCATTCACGTCAGCTGATCGTGACGGCAGATTAAAAACTGAATGTTCGTGAATCATGAACAACAGCATGAAACAACGAATGAATAATGAATAGAAACTTACGAATAAATTCCACTGCAGAACAACTGTGAACACTTTTCACTGAGACCACATTCAGAAAAATTCACTTGACGCAGGGAGGTCAATCGTGGGAGAACTCCAGACAACAGGACAAAACCTGCAGTACGCAAATCATTAACAAAAAAGTAGCAAAAATATCTAAAAGCAAAACTGGAAAGTGGTAGAATGAGAAACTGGTCAACCTTTCTTATCATCAAGCACATTTTTCGATAAATCCAGCGCTTCCAGTGGTATAGTAGGATTTTGCTGTAAAGCTGAGGCAAACAGCGTGATAAAATCTCTGAAAAACTATCTAAACTCTCTCGAAATTCAGTGAAAACTCGACCATGATGGCATGTGCCGCGATATTCTGATGGGTTTAGATAGGAAGCCATAGAGGCTTTCTTATTCGCCTCGCCCCCACCAAGAGTGAGGTGCTTAATATGTGAAGGGGTGGGGGGGATATGTTTATCAGTTTCCGCCCAGTCGATCAACGCGGGACCATAATAAATAAGGAAACCTACCGCGGAAGAGCACAGTTCTTCAATTGCAGCACTTGCAAATGACGTGATTTACGAATGACAGCCATTATCACATCAATCATTTCTGACGTCATTCGAATCCCATCGGCAGCAAGACCCGTAAAATAGGACGAATACTGTAGAACCCCCGTGATCGGAATTAAATCTCTGAGAATAAATGGATTGTCTTGATTTTGTGCATGGAATAATGGAACAGAATAAACTTACTTTGGCAACAAATGTGAAAAATCATCAATTCGCAACCAGCGCACTCTATTTACAGCATAAATTTTTTCAACATCCTAAATAGTTCGAGATTAAAGCTGAGGATTCAAAATGTACTGAATACTGTCAAACCTACCCAAGATACTTCTTCTCTATATGGCTGGTCGTAGTAATCGCACAGGGCCGCATATGTGCGCCGAAATGAATGACATGCCTTGGCCGCAACATCCTCACTCAAGGTGGAGAACTCTTCGTACAAACTCTCAGGCGTGAGCTCGATCGTCGATCGTAGCTGGGGTCCTACAACAAATCTGATAAGAGGTGACGAATGCGAAAATTTCACGAAAGTTGAAGTCAAGTTAATTAAGTAGTAGCAGTAATTCCGCTTCCCGGGGTCCGCGTCTACACTGCGAATCGAGTGAATGCGAGTCGGAAATCATGCGAGAAGGAAAGTGTTCCTATTGATGTGAAGAACCGGACGATTTTATAAAAGATCAGACCGACTTCTACCGAGTGAGCTGCCACCAGGGCACGCCGTACATAAGGAATCCCCAGCTAGAGGGGGAGGGTCGTGATTGGTTACAGGGGAGAAGGGACGTTTTGCCTTTGACGGATATGTTTTCGGCTCTTAATTTTTCTCGGTTTCATATGTGCTAGTGCGCTATATACTTTCCCCCCTCCTCCCACCCCGATGGTAGTTTTTCTGGGAGAAAGTGGAGGAATTTTTGGGAAAAGTGGTAGGAAGTAGGGGGACATTTAGGGAAGATGGCAGGTACGATGGATGGCAGATCAGGACCGGAGTTGACTAGAGGGAGAAATTTCAAGGGCGAGTGGTTGCACTTTGCGAACATTCGCCCCAACGGCAGGAGCTTGTCTACTACTCTCCAATCCCCATCGTGGCGAAGCTCATTGGTACGTATTAATCTTTCCACAGATCAGCTGACTGACTGATCAATACGTATACTTTCCTTTTCGCGGATTCCTCGATTCTCAGAATCACGTGATTCTCCGATTTGAAACCGCTAAGTATGAACGTCGCCTCAAGCATAAATATCCACAATTACAAAAGTACAAAACAAAAAATAACGATTCAAAATGAACTAACAGAAATGCTTAAAACGAATAATATGTTACCTATATCAGGAAAATAGCGAAGGAAGGCGCCAAGAACATGCTTTATCAAAACCGATGCCGTTGCTTGCGGACTTTTAATGACATATCGTTTTTTATGACCAGCTTCCTCGAATGATATGGCTACCTGGAAAAAAAGAATTACCGAGAGACGCCGTCATAAAATTGTTAAGAATCCCTTATGTAATGAATACTTCGGAAGACCAATTCTAGCGCTTATAACCAACAAGCTAGACATTCTTTGCTAAGGAAGTATGACTTTAGAAAGTTGTCTTCGTTCTTTAGATGGATTCGCCCTACGTATAGTTCGTGCTTTCCGCCTAGCTGCACTCATAAACATGTGGCATTCGCTTTTTGATCAGGCAGCATTTTACGGCGCTTCCTGAAGCTTCCGCACAACTAAACAAGAAATGAAGTACACGAACATAGCAGTTTCAGTAGATAAAACGAATAAACAGATCTCCATTTGGCGCTAATGACCTTGGGAAAAAAGGGGAGGGGTGGATTTAAAGAATTTCTTGTGATAAACCAAGACTAAGGTAGTCTGAACAGAATTACTGCACTTGATATTGACTCACTAATCCCATAGGTCCTTCCTTCTCCCCTTAGGCTTAGGCAAACTTCCCTATATCCACTACGGTAATTTGAAGGAGTCGTTAGGATGCCTTCCCGAGGGTTATTAGCGCCCTCTATTCTAAAGCTACGTTCGCAAAATTACCACGCTTGGCTTTGAGGTGAGGATATTAAACGTAGCAACTGGAAGAACAGAATGATTCCATCCTAAACCTGCCAAAAGCACTTATTCATGGAACATCCGCTTGGAGCTCAAACAAGGAAAAAATAAGGGTAAAATCAGCACAAATGGATCTAAGGGGTGAAGCTGTGGGCCTCGTTTACACTGCTCGGAGAGCATTACTACTCAGTAAATATGAGTGAGTGAGATTAGGAGAAATTATGTATCTGTACTGGTGAAGGGTCACCGAAATCCGGCGCTTCACACTATATGGTTATCAACCTGAATCATAAACGGCTCTAGAGTAGCCCCTTTCGGTAGGTTCTTAAGTGGGATTTCTGTATTGCAGCTGTTCTCTGCAGAACAAACTGCGAATGTTCAGATTCCTTCACAGAGGATGCCAAATAACGTAATTTGGCATCTGGTGGGTAAATGGAGCCGCTATTACCACCCGAAGCAGCACCTCAGTGACCAAACAAAGACAAGTTGGTCAAACTTTAAATGCAATCAATGAAGGAATAAATGAAACATACTCACCTCGTCATCTTTGAGAGCACTTAACGACTTCACATTGAGGATATGATAACTTTTGTCGATTTTTAATGATGAAGGCGACTTTCCATTGAGCAGAAAAATACGAAATTTAGATATGACAAATATCCTGGGCTCGAATTTGTCTCCTTTGTACGACACTTCAGATTGTAAGGCCACACGATAATCGAAAAACTTGCTACCCAGCACAGCAGCTGATGGTTTTTCTGAAAAAACACACGTCGTATCCAGTTCTACGTCAAATCAATAATGCCCAGAAAAACTTTAATATTCTGAAGAACCTAGATCTAGGAAAAACTGGACCGCACCAATAAAAATGAGCAGACCAATACGGCCTAGCCAAACTTGTATCTCTCTTCAAAAACTGGAGAATTCTGGCCTTTGGGATAACCAATCTGAGGGAGATAGCAGAACGCTGACTCGTCTCCATTCCTCTACGGCTTCCTTAATTCGAGTCACTCGCTCCCGTTTTTTTTCTTTTGATCTTTATTGAGCTTCGGCGCGCTGGCTTTGCGTGCCCAGCACTCCCTTTTCCAGAGAGAACAGGGCAAGTTCCGCGATTCTCGCTACCGATCGCCTTTTGAAGTGGCTGCTTTGGTTACCCTCCCGGCCACGCCAAAGAACAGTCCACATGAAGCAGCAAATGCGCGAAAACATTACCCGTTTACCGTTATAACTGTGTCAGTGACAACTTTATTAGGATCCATTACTGATGCTTCCAAGAAAAGATGACTCATGGAAAACCAAACATGTGCCTTATCAAAGCAATGTTATCTAGCTTCCAGTCCTTACCATTCTTCTTCTTCTTCTTCCCAGCGTACCCGATAACAGTTGCACAAGAAGCGTTAAGAAAGGAGAAAAAGAAGAAGAAGTGATTTTTAGTTAGTGTGTTTTCATTTTAATGGCGAACTTGTTGCTGTAACTTTCCATTGAATCCCCCCCAACCGGCCAGATAAAAACAACGTTAAACCGCGCTATTCTTGCTGTTGCGCAAGACTGCGCTCATGCCTAGCGACAGAATAGAGGAATCCGAGATTAGGAGAAGAAGTGCAAAGTAGATATGAATCGATGATTCCTGTCGCTAACGAAGTTTGGAATAACAGGAGACGGGAGAATAGGGGCGCAGGAAGGATCGAGTTCTGCGAAAACTCCGTTCCGCGCACCAACAGCAAGTCGAATCGATTCTGCTATGCATTCCTTTAGCACAACTTCTCTTATTCCCCAGGCCGTCGCAAAAGTATAACGCAGTCTTAGCAATGATCTCGCTAACTGCTTATTAACTCACGAGGACTCTGTCGAAGGTGAACTAGTGCGGTTTCAATCTACAATTTAAAATTACACCAAGTACGCCTGCCCCTGCGGGATGCTGGGAACGTGGAGAGGAGAGGGGAGGAGATCGTTCTATTGATCAGCACCAATTGTTGCCATTTGCATTCTTCTAGAATCGGTGGAGAAGGGCAGGCACCATGCCGGAACCACTCCCTCCCTAACACGCCCAGCAGCGAACAGACTGTATCTGTTTCCGTTCAGAAGTCGCGCAATAACAAAAGCAAGAAAGCACTACCGCAGGGACCTGTACAAAGAGAAAACAAATTGTTCCAAATTAGTTCATAAGTAGCAGCTTCTTTTGTTCGCACTACCTCTTTCTTACGCTTGTACTGCTCCTAAAAGTAAAATAACATACCCCTCCTCCCGAGATAAACAAAAACTTGGAGAGCACTTCATTAAATAATCAGGTCGAAGTCTTTTTTTTTCTTGGATTCAAAGACAGAGCCTTTTTAGTCCCCTGTATTCCATCGAAGTCTTCGAAGAAGAAAAGCTCCTTAGCATTTCCCAGTGTGTCGGATTACTCATTGCGTCCTGTTCAGATAAGGGCAAAGCGACGAAAATGGGCAGAAACTGATGCAAGAAAAGTGCTGAGGAACAGGTATATGTACCTTTGCAATATTGGAAGCTAATAGTATTGGGAGGGTATTTGAAGGATCTTTCTACAAAACTAGAACCATAATGAATGGTTGAAGATGAAAGGACTTTCGCCCAGTCCTCAAGAGGTCGATGAGCTCGCTATGGGTGAACGAATTGTAAGAAAGTAATGCTATTTGGATGACGTTAATCACGTTTCGCATGATTCCTGGAGTCCTCCAGCCCCCCCCCTCATCAGTGCTCAGAATCAAAAGGATGAACGAAAAGCTTTTGTCTTTGAACACTGCCACTATAGAGCGGCACGCATTCTACTTCCATTCAGAATCGTAGTGGCTTATTGAATGCGATGTGGCCTATACAATGACTTGCGAGGGACCAACTGATGTACAGTCATTCATTGTTCCTACTCTCCCGCACACTCTGGTACCAATTTACCGTCAGCGGAGGGTAAAAGGGTTCGGCGGCCTGAGGGGGACCCGATCCGGGAGCGGAGTGCCCGTCAATAGGTAATATATACTTGATCCAGGCTTT